TATATGGATTTTGTAATATAATCCAAGTACCATAAAATTAAAGAATGTCATTGGAATACCTGTAATTACTTTTGGATTATTTTGGACCAAACTTTGTTTAAAAAAAAAAATCAACACGATATATATTTTCACATATTTGTCGAATAATATGCATGGTTTTGAAATGCCGGAGGAAGCCTGAGCACCGGGAACTCAAATCCAAAGCACAAGAACCGTGTGAAGAACTTGTGTACCATGCTGCAGAGATGGATCGATAGATAGTTGGATGGATGGATTGAAGGCTGTGTGAAGCAATGCCTGTTTTCGAACTGTCCCTGAAGGCAACCCGCATAGCTGGACAGATAGATTGCATTTGAAACAATTGCTTAGCTGCATACAGAAAGCTGTTGTCAGATTGTTACTGAAGGCAACACCTTATGGAGATCCGACTGATGGATACAAAGTAGATAGATAGAAAGATAACGTCATCTCATGAGGGAATTTAGTTCTGATAGCCTGATAAAATTTTTCAAACCTTTTCCACAGGACCAGTGTTTGTTAAAAGTTAAATGTAACAGAGTGGAGTTAGCATCAGTGCCCCAGTCTTACACATATATGTATACACATATACGCACAATTGTTCGTAATTTTGACGGCTGATATGTGACGTCACCATCGGAACCCCCCGCCCCCTTTTTTTTTAAATTCTGGGTGACAAATTTAACAGATGATATTGGTAATATGGCATTTAAATAGTATCGCTATGGGTAATTTGTGACAGGAATTTTTTATTTATATTTCTAAGTTGTGGGCGTGGTGCCACCGTACTAGCTCCTCATATAGTAACAAGCACTCCGAATAAGTTTGACGGTGAATTTGTAAATGTTATTTTAATGGAAGAATACTCAGGTGAATATCATTCAAAACTGTCACCATCTATTTTCTTTGAGTCACTTGACAAAGCAACCACACTAAGACCAACATGTCTAAAGCCAGTGACCTGTCTCACTTCATCGTTGGCCAGCAAAACCCTAAATGTGGGATGAGCATTGAGCTATCTTGTGAGCAGTTATCGACTTAATTCAGGGAAATTGTCCAACAAGGCAAAAGCGAGCGATCGTGGACTCGACTGCGCCGTCTCTCTGCCTGCATTAAAAATGCAATACTGCAAAATAATCCACAATTTTCTTGAATGTAGCTATAATCTGAGTATGTGTTTTTTTTTTTTTTTCTGTAACGGAACTCAGTTAATTTTTTTTTTGTATCCGGAATACGTTTTTTTTCTGTAACGGAACTCAGTTAATTTTTTTTGTATCCGTAATACATAACGCCGTTACATGTACCTTTGTATTCGGTTACTCCCCAAGCCTGGTAATGAGGTATCGTCTGTGCATGTTGACATGAAAATAAAGATAAAAAATATCTGTTTCAGCATGTCAACAAAATTTCAACTGAAACACATTAGCACATTTCGGCATACTCGCTAAATTGTTCATAAAACTTAACAAAAACATCTCAACAAAATGTTGCAGCATGTCTACATCGACAAAAAAAATGTCACCTAAAAATGTTTGTGTCAACAAAATTTTACAAAACAAAAATGTCATGAAAGACACATTTCAGCATGTCAAAAAAACCCCCAAAACGTTTTGGCATATCACAAAAACATGTCTCTGCATGTCAACTAAATTATCAACCAAAACATGTCAACAAGACCAAAAAAAAAAACAATAGCATGTTTCAGCATATCAACAAAACAGCCTCTCAACAAAATGTGCCAAGCTAAAGTACATTCCAGCTTTTCAAAAAACATGTCAACCAAACATGTTTTGAAATGTCAGCAAAATTGTCAACCAAAGCATGTCAATAAAACATGCCACTAAAGTTGTGTCAATAAAAACATGGCAACACAACATGTCAACACAACATATTTTGACACGTTAACAAAAATGTCAGCGTTTCATCAAAAACCATGTCAGCATTATTCAGAACATTTTTCAAAGTGTGTATGATAAAGGGAGCATCAAAACCTAGTGAGATTTAAAAAAATATTAATTTGAGAGTGTCCCATCTGCCATCTTATTTACAAACCTTTCCCTTTTTTTTCAAAAACGCCGAAGCGGTACACAATTGCAAAAGCCCTCTCTGCTTTACCACCCTGTTCTAAGGTCATCTGTGAATTTGCCTTTTGTGACAAGAGTCTGAGAAAGATTCAGGTACGCTGAGTAACTATAGCTGCGTTCGGCATTGTTTTGGGGGAGAAAAGGATCTACCGGTGTTTATAATATAGATAATACCCATTCATTCATAAATTGGAGACCCGCGACTATTAGTCCGAAGTGGTATATATGTCCAAATTATTTTTTATAGGTAAATTTGGCTGTTACGGCTGTTAATCAGGTGTCTTTTGTAGTCCGGAAACTATGGTACCTCAATCATATTAACATTTTGAATAAGTTGATTTTTGTGAAAATATGCACAAAATGTTTTTTTTGCTGGTTGTTTGCTGGTTTTGTGCTGTCCTTGAACGGAACTTTCTACGCAAGAGAGCTCTTTGCGTTGGAAAAAAAGAATCACAGTACATGTGTGGGATTTTTTTTTCTTTTATGATGATTTTTGCTTCAAACCGTTTGTTGTGAGGTTAGGATAGTGGATCTTTTATACACACATTCAGAAATGTATTATGAAATCATTTCAGTGCATGTTTTGTTCGTATGTAAAATGGCATTTTTGTCATGCATATAGTTAGGAAGTGTGTGCTTCTATGTCACCCCCTAGTAGTACTGATGAAATATTGTGGCCCACTCCAGCAGTGAAGTTGCTCATCCCTGTTTTGGACCAAAGTTGAGGCTTGTGTTTTCCTGAAAGAATTTGTGATTAAAATCATGTAAACACTAAGACACTTGTTTTCATGGCGACTGCTCACACACAAGTTTGCATTTCGACCTCTTTTTTTTTTTTTTTTTTAGCTTTTAGTTCTCAATACCTGTAGTTCCTGGCACTAAAAGGTTCCAATGAGCTTCAGCACTGAAGAACCAACCCACAATGTTCTTGGACCTTTCAAAAGTACAACCTCCCCTTGCAGGGTCTTCTTTTGGCCCAAGAACCATATTTTTGGAAATAGTTCAATCCTAAGTTTTGGAAACTTTACGTTCTTGCTACTTGTAGGTCTTTCCATCTTCAAGCTCCAACCAGAACCAACCACAAATAGTAATTCTTGTCTCTCCGGAAAGTACCACCCATCCTTGAATGGTTTTCTTTGGCCCTCCATAAACCCAAGAACTACATTTGGAAATGGTACCCAAAAAGGTCCTAGTTCCTGGGTAAAGTTCCATGCAATGGCAATGCTTTGTGAATGGTGCTCATTTTGAGAGTTTGCAGTTGTTTTTGAAAACACTTACATTTTTGCACAAACACAATAGAAGCTGATGATTAACTCGCCCCCTCCACATTTTATGTAACACAGTGATGTGGTCACCATGTTCTAATGTAAAGTATGTGTGTGCGTGCATGTCGGATGAGTCATAGTAATGTCTGGCCTCTTGTTATTTCACTGACAAAATGGCAGTTGGAATTAATTAACAGGCTGGAAGGACGAGGAGGAGGTGGTGCAACTTGGGTCCTTTGTCTCATATGTTCTGGGTGGGTGTGGAGGTAATGATGATCGGCAAACTAAGCAATTGCGAATGCTTTGTTCTTGAAGAAGCTGATCGGATCAAAATAATCAGTGGCACACCCACAGGAAGTAAAGAAAATGTGAATTTAAAAGGGAAGTCAACCACCAAATTTTCTTGATATGTTCGATGCGCCCGCACGAGTCTGAAGCAGCAAAATCCGACGTTCTTTCGCCATCTCAGATGGCGGCCATTTTGCCTCTTGCTGTCGAGTGAAAATGACATCACAGTTGCCAGGGTCAGGTAACAGCCAATCACGGCTAACCTGTTTTACGACGCTCAGCCATGATTGGTTGTTACCTGAGCCCTGAGCAACTGTGATGTCATTTTCATTCGATAGCAAGAGGCAAAATGGCCGCCGTCTGAGATGGGCAAAAACGGGTGGATTTTATTACTTAACTCATATTCCACAAACCCAATATTAATCAGAATGCCATGTTTACTTGAGTGACAAAACGTGACTTGGGAGGCTTGTCGGAAATGTACCCCCCCCTTTTTTTTTACTGGATTGTTTTAATTTTTATGGCTGGGTATTTTTAAGTTTTTGTTTTGCCAGTTTCCTTGAATGTGGCATCAGATGTGCAGAAAGTGATCTTGTGAGACTTGCGGGAAATGTGGTGAATATCTAAAATATTTCACGGATCACGAGTTTAGTTTATCGTCTTTCATAGGTAAGTAGCGATATCAAGTGGAATTTTCAGCTTTCCCAGTTCTAATTGAAAGCAGCATTCCACATGCAGAATGTGACTAGTAAGACTTGTGGGAAAATCAAGTCAACATTTAAAAAAAATCTAAAATGTTCCCCTTAAAAAAAATCGAATGCGTTGATTACTAGTATAAGCAATAACCAATTTACGTAAAGTTCAGTTTTCCCAGTATCCTTGAAGGCAGCATCAGACTCCCGAAAGAGACTGTTGAATCAGATATGCTGAACGTGACTAATGAGGCGTGAAGGAACTAGACCCAATGTCTAAATATTAATTGTCAATTGTTACTACATCCATTGAGCACAATTGTTAATTCCTGTTTGTCACGTGTCCTTGAATGTAGCATCACATGGCGAGAAAACTCACTTAATGTTGTGAAATAAAGCCCCTGTTTTCATCTCTTAGAATGCCGGACAAGTTCAAAATGAACTGAGATGATGATGATGTCATCGTCCTAAAAAGCACCAACAAGATGTTGCCGCCATTTTTAAAACATCTTGTGTTTGGGCAGGTAGGATCAAGCATAAAACATCACAGTTTGATGGTATTAATAATAATAAGAGTGACACCATCTTCCCTGTAGCGTTTTCCATCTGAAACGCTCGACTTCTGCCGGCCAAATGCACACCCCCTCCTCCCCCGTCAACCCCCCTCAACAGTGAAACTTGAATACGATGAGCACGATGCGCTTGTACTCCTTTCTGAAGTTGTGATTGAGCGCGCCGTAGATGACAGCGTTGAGGCAACTGTTGAAGTAGGCCATGAAGTAGCTGGCGGTGAAGAGCCACTCGGGGATGGCGCGGCCCAGTCGCGGGTCCAGCGCCACCGCCAGACCGATGAGGTTCAGCGGTGCCCAGCACACGGCGAATAGCACGAAGACCACGAACATGGTGAGGAAGTTGCGCAGGTCGTGCGGCTTGAGCTTGGGCCGCGAGTCGGGTTTGACGCGGCGCCTCACGCGGATGACCAGCATCCAGATGCGCAGGTAGCAGTAGCAGACGATGGCGATGGGCAGCACGAAGTGGACCACCACCACGGCGATGGTGTACGCCGAGCTCACCGACTGGGCGAAGGTGCACGAGTAGACACGCGGGTCGTACTGTAGCGACTCCATGAACCAGTTGGGTACGATGGCCAGCACGGTCAGCGCCCAAACCAGAGCCACGTAGCACACGGTGTTGGTGCCCGAGAACAGCCGGTCGTAGCGCAGGCTGTGGCAGATGTAGCAGTAGCGGTTGACGGCGATGCCCGTGATGTTGAAGATGGAGCCGATCACGCTCAGGCCAATCAGGAAGCCGCTCACCTGTCGGGGGGAGGTATGATGAATTTCGGGCTTTAAATAAGGGGGAGGGGTTTTCAAATGAGGGGTTCCTGCCTGGCCTTGGGTTTCAAATTAGGCATTCCAAGTAGGATTTTAAACCAGGGTTAAATTTGGGTTTTCCAGGCAGAGCTAAGGTTTCGAGCACGGGTTAAGAAATTAGGGTCTGAAGACAAAGTCGAAAACCAACACAAGCGTCTTCTCCTCTCTCAGAAAGCAATGTTGATGAATGAAAGATTTTAGTAAATATATAAGATGTGTTTTGCTGTAATCTTGGTCTCAAATATGTAAAGTATAAATACTGTTTACATCTTGTAAGCATACTGGTACGCATATAAACGAAAAATCCTAGCGGGGGTGCAAATCCTACCTCGCGGTTTTCATCTTTCGCAGGGGGGAGGGTTTCCGGTTCCCATTAATGAGGGATGACTGTACAGTGATCCCTCGCTATTTCGCGGTTCGTTTATCGCGGCTTCAGGGCATCGTGGATTTTTTCAAACAAACTCATTAAAAAAAAAAAAAAAAAAAAAATTTAAGTCCGCAAACGGTCCGGGAGAAGCAGCGAAAGTCAGCAAAACAACAGCGAGTCACATAGAGCAACATATACAGTACTACATGTATATGTTTACTGTATTTTGTTATTCATACACTCACCTAACCTAACTTATACATGTTTAAATCTATTACTATACAGCATTAAGTAATGTTAATTACGACAAAATTTACTTCTACGTGCATGTATACCATTACATTTGGCCTTATAAATATTTTTTATACTCATACACATGTACATGTACCTATACGGGGGGAGGGGGGGTCGCTACTTCGCAGATTTTCGTTTATCGCGGGTGGTTTTGGTCCCCATTAACCGCAATAAACGAGGGATTACTGTACACACGTTTTAGGTTATGAGCGTGGCCACGGAACAAATGAAACTCGCGTTTCAAGGCACCACAGTCATGTGTCATTGTGCATCGATCTGTGCCCACGACGTATAGTGACAGACAGAACAATTAAAAGCTCTTCCACGAGATGACCTGCGAACAGACCTTTTGCCACTCAAGCAAAGGGGAAAATGAAAAGGCCCGGATTTCACGAGGAGTCGTATTCTGAGGACATTGAGAAGACATTCTTCTTCTTTGAGCATTCCTCCTTTTTTATGCCTCTCACCTGGCAGTGCAGGTATCCCGCGATCCAGCCGCCATGGAAGATAGCCGTCAGCACCAGCGGATACGGGTACACGGCCACCAGAAGGTCAGCCAGCGCCAGGCTCACCACAAATGCGTTTCCTGAAAGGAAGACAGCGCCTGCGGTAGCTCAGCTTGCAAACGACACTTGCGACAGTGTCAGGCTTTGAAGACATTGAGGGTTCAGGTCACTTGTTTCAGCTTCGGCTTTCAAACAAAGCTTAAGCGCATCTATTCGCATTATACATTTGTGCTACACTTTTAATCACGGATGTAAAAAAAAAAAAAAAAAATTCTAGACTTTCTGATGTTTGTCATTGTTTTTATTTGTCTAGCACAATAATAATAATAATTTAATGTGTAATATAGTGATATATGTCTTAATATTTATGCATTAAGCGTTAGCTTCAGCAACAGGTGGAATTTTTATTTGGACCTTCAAGCTATTATTTACAACATGGTAAAATCCATTTTCCGCAAGCTTTTATTGTTAAAAAAGAAAAAAAAAAGAAAATATTTCAAAAAGTGATGTGCGAGAAAAAAGTAGACACACATTTGAAATCATCAAAAATACATTTAGGAACACATAAAGCCATCTGTGATTAAAAATTTCTGTTGACCAGTGTTAGGATTGCAAGACAGGTTTATGGTTTCAACCAAAGGGTTATGGTTTAGGTTTAAAGCCTGAATTAGGGGTGGAAATTAAGGTTTCAAACTGGGGTTTCAGGATATGGTCATGGTTTCAAACCAGGGTTGGGTTTTCAAATTAGGGTTTCAAACGAGCGTTAGGTTTTCAAATCAAAGTTTCAAAGTAAGGTTTCAAGCCAGGTTTCAGGTTTCAAACAAGGTTTAGGATTTCAGATGGTTTCAAGCCAATATTAGGTTGTCAAATTAGGGTTTTAAGCCTGATTTGGGTTTTCAAAGTAGGATTTCAAATTAAGGTTTCAAGCATTGTTTAGGGTTTCAAACAAATGTTAGGGCTTCAAATCAAGGTTATGGCTTTAAGTTTGGGGTTCAGTCCAAAGTTATGTTTTTAAGTAAGTTTTGAATTCAGGTTTTAAACCAGGGCCGTGGTTCTAAATTAGAATTTCAAATGAAGGTTTCAAGCCATGGCAGCTCAACTGGTCAGCACATCCGCTTCACAGGACAGAGGTCATGCGTTCGAATCCGGCCTGGACCATCCTGTGTGGAATTTGCATGTTCTCACCGTGCCTGTGTGGGTTTTCTCCGGGTACTCTGGTTTACTTCTAAATTGTCTCTAAATTGTAAATTGTGAGTGTGATTGGCTGGCAACCAATTCAGGGTGTCCCCCGTCTTCTGCCCTAAGACAGCTGAGATAGGCTCCAGCACGCCCCGCGACCCTCGTGAGGATAAAGCGGATTACAAAATGGATGGATGGTTCCAAGCCAGGTTTCGAGTTTCAAGTCAGGGTTAATGTTTCAAATTAGCCAAGGTTTATGGTTTTAAATGAGGCTTTCAATCCAGGCAGGGTGAAAGGTGATGGTTTCAAAAAAGGGTTCAAGCCAGTTTCGCTTTTGTGATGGAAATGAAATCTTGTATTTTGAAAGTATAACATAGAGACGTGTAGCTGCCAAAGAGAGAAGCACATTTATCTTTTGTCTTTTTATCTCGCACGGTTCTCGGAAATTAGGTGGGGGGAAAAAAATGTGGATAGAGCGCTGCCGGCATATTTATCATCAGGCCCAAGTGGCTTAGCGGTACGGCGCTCGGTCATGCGGCGGGCGGGAGCAAGTAAATGAGGCCGTGACTCCGTGTCAGGAGCATCGCCGTGCCGACGTTTATTAAGAACGCGACGCGCCATGAGTTACAAGGCGCTTCTTCATCTGTCAATGCAAATAAAGTTTCACATTGGGGTTTCAAGATGGGGTTAGTGTTTCATATTTCAAACAAGAGGTAAAGCTTCAAATGAGGATTTCAAGGCACAGTTAGGGTTTTGAGGCAGAGATAAGGTTTCAAAGTAGGGTTTGAATTCTGGATTAAGGTTTCAAATTAAGATTTCCAGTTGAGGTTAAGGTTTCAAATTGGAGCTTTCAGGAAGGGTTAGAGTTGGGGTTGGAAATTAGGGTTTCAAGACAGATAGTGTTTGAAACCTGGGTTTCAAGATAGGGTTAGGGTTCGGGTTAGGGTTCGAAACAGGCTTTTAACTTTTAAATTACAGTTTGAAGTCTGATTTCAAAGCCTGGTTAGGGTTGCAAACATGGGTTTTTGGACAACTAGGGTTGGAAATTAGGGTTTTAATTCATGGTTAGTGTTTTGAATTTGGATTTCATGGAAGGGTGAAAATTTCAAATGGAGCTTCAAGAATAGTCACTTTTCAAATTATGGTTTCAAGGCAGGGCTCAGGTTTGAAAGTTGGGTTTCAAACCTGAGTTTAGGGTTCAAATTAAGAGTTAAGGTTTCAAATTAGGGTTTGAAGTCAAAGTTTCAATTGAGTGGTTCGGGACACAAGCGTTTAAGGCTGCAGGTTAGGGGTTCGAGTATGGTTAGGCAGTTAGGCATTCAAATTAGAGTTCAAAGCCAGAGTGAGTGCTTCAAGCAAGGTTTTGGTTTTCCAAATTGTGATTAGGAATCTGCGGTTAGAGTGTCAACATAGGGAAAAGCTTTTAATTAACAGTCAACCCCCGTTTAATTCCCCACTCCCCGATCCACATGTTCGTCCCCTGCTAGAAGGAACAGATGTTTTCCCGGAATGTCACTGACGGCCGGCCGACGTCGACATGCTCTGCACGCCGATCTGCCCCCCGCCCCCTACCCAGCTCCTTCTTTCCCACCCGGCTCATGCTCCGACATTCATTTCTCTTTCCACTTTCATGTTGTCGGGAGGGCGAGAATGCCGGCCCCCTGACCGGGAGAAAAGGCTGGCGTCTGAACAATGGCGGCTCATTAGCATTCAATAGCCCTGCAGGAGGTCTGACGGATGATTCCAGGAGGCGGGATACGGAATAATGGAGATGGAGGAGAATAGTCGGGATGGAAAATTGGAAAAAGTAGAGGGCTGCCAAGGGTGACAACAAGAGGAGCGTAGAGTCAAACACAGTTGTGTGTGACTTTCAGAGAGGGGAGGGCAGCGTGAGCTGAAGTGCCATAAAAGAGCAGTGGCACGTACTATTCAGTGGCATGTGGTCTCCAAGTGGCCACTTCACATTGGCGATTGCCCTGGCCAACTTGACAAATGGAGGCCTGCATGCAGTTTCTTTGAATCGTACTGCACGCTTCGACCTCCCACAGGGACTACAGCTGATCAGTTTCTGCTTCCGCCATCTTTGAAGACTGTGATTTTAAAAGAAATGAGAGGGGCCACTTCCTTTGGCTGCAAAGCAAGTAGTGGGGCATACCGCCCATTTCAAATTGCACTTTGCGCTGTGCATCTGCGAAAATACCAAAACTTTGTGTTGCCCACCTGTGTGCACAGCAAGACCATGCTACGCACCAGATTTCTGCTAGGCACGAATATAAAAATAATAATAACTTGTGAAGTGACAATGTGATGTACTTTGATCTTTTTAAGTCACATTACCTCTTCACGTCACGCTCTCAATGTCTCCATTCATTTATACTCATATAATAGCTCAATCATCTTGTTTATTGTCACAGGGAAGATGGAGTTTAATGAGCGCTATCATACAAAGCCTCATATCATAATGTGACACCCTACACCCATCACCTGTCAATCACAGGATGGAGGCATGCAGACAAAAACACCGCTCACATTTACAGACACTTCAGAGGGAATAGACATCCCTGAAGTAAAGCTGCTCGAGCCCACATTCCATCCCCGATCCTTCTTTTCGACAAATGTGTCACACCTGAACTGAAAAATCCAATATTGCCCTTGATTGTGTTCAAAGACGTTGACACACTTTGGATTTTTCTCCACGTTCCCATTCATGAATTTCAATTTCAAAAAAGTAACATTTGGAGTGGGATGTGACATTGCAATGATGTTTTGAATTATTATTTTGGGGTTGGTGGGGCGGGGATCCTAAACACAATGAATATTTGCAAAGAATAATAACAGTACTATTAAAAGTAATAAAAATGCATGTGAAAATAGTAAAGAAAATAAAAAGAATACTGATAAAATCAAAATTAGTTAAAGCAAAAAAAATCAATGCTTGTGAAAATTGTTAAAAAAAACCCTAAATACTAGCAAAAGAGGTCATAAAAAGTACACATAAAAATGCTCGTAAAAATAAGAATAAAAAATTATCGGCAAAAAGTAGTAAAAATATATATTTGCACAAATTGCAGAAGAACCACTGAGTAGTAACAAAAATTGTACTGTAACAACAAATCGCAATAGCCACAAAAGAAAAACAGTACAAAAAGTACAAACAAACAAAAAGACTCCGAAAATGGTAGAAATAAAATATAGACCCTTCAAACAGCTATGTTGTGAAAACAAAACAAAACAAACACACAAACGAGCAATTTAGTAGCAAAAGTAGTTCAATAATAATAAAATAATAAGTAGTAGTAGTGAAAATGAAACCCATTAGTTGAAGTAGTAAGAATAGTAAGTGAAGTGAAAGTGCTGTAAGTGTTGTACCAGTTTTCCTGAGTTTCCTGTTTCTGAAGACGGACAGGATGACGAGCAGGTTGCCAATGACGTCCACCACGATGGTGGTGATGAGCACGACGGCCAGGACGGTCATCGCCCACGGGAATGCATGCTGCGAGTGCTGGGCCCCGGCCGCCGTGGAGTTGCGCGACCCCGGCGTGGCCCCCAGCGCACCTGGGGGCCAAGCCGGTGGCGGCTGCTGCTGCTGGGCGGCCATCAGCTGAGGGAGCTGCCGCGGGTCCACCAGCCTCGCCGCCGGGTCTCGCTGCGGCCGTAACATGGCGGTGGAGTACCTCTCGGGAGCTTTTTACGCTGCGTTTCGGGACATGACAGTGAAGGTGCAAGTGATTCGCGCTGGAGCGATCGCACGTACGAGTCTCGGCGTGCGCGGCGTTGGCGGCGGCACGCGTGGGCTCTCGCTCACGTCCCCTTGTGCCATGTTAGCGCGCTTCCCTTTTCCCTGCGCAGGTATTTGCAGCCGAGCGGTTCCTGCCAGTGAATGAGCGTTCCACCCCCCTCTATCTCGTTGCCGCTCTTTTCCCGCCCATTCCACAGCGTCCTTACACACGTCAACATCTCCTGCTTCTTCTTCTTTGATAATTTTCATTGACATTCACATCAAAATCGACGGGCCAATCTGAGCAGCCCAAAAAAAAGTGCCCAGAAGCCCTAAACTGTGAAGGTACAAATACCCCCAATGGTATGTGGGCTTCTTCTAGTGCAGTGGTTCTTAAAGTGGGTTTGATCGAACCCTAGGGGTTCGGTGAATCGGTCTCAGGGGTTCGACGGAGCCTCTGCCATGGAGGTTAAGGCACACCCGACTCAATTAGTTATGACACGACCGCTTGGCCAATACTGGCTGGTTCATTTTGTGCACAATTAAAAAAACGGATACTTATGTCATGAAATTGTATTTAGGTTTTTCTACTCTTTGTAATAAATGCGTTTTTTATGTCTTGAATTTGTAAAAAAAAAAAAAAAAAAAAAAATCATATTTTTATTTTTCGCTAATGAAAAGTTCGATGAATGTGCATATGAACTGGTTGGGTTCGTTACCTCTAAGAAGGTTAAGAACCACTGGGGATTTGTTCACATACCACTAGAACCGTGGTTCTTAACCTTCTTAGAGGTAACGAACCCAACCAGTTAATATGCACATTCACCGAATCCTTCATTAGTGAAAAATAAATATGTATATTTTTTACAAATTCAAAATATAAAAAAAAACGCATTTATTAAAAACAGAAAAAAGTAAATACAATTTCAAGAGAGAAGTATACTTTTTTCTTTTTTTTTAATTGTACGACGTACTATCACGACACACGACAGTCACATGTTGACGACTAAGCGAACTAAACTTCCCACAGCACTGATTGGACAAGCGATGTAATGTGATCATCTGCAGCCAGTGATGGCCAAGCAAGCGTGTTATAACTAATTGACATGTTGAGTCACGTGTATCTTACCCTCCATGGCAGAGGCTCCGTCGAACCCCTGAGACCGATTCACCGAACCCCTGGGGTTCGATCAAACCCAGGTTAAAAACCACTGCACTAGAAGTACGTGAACAAATCCTTGTCATAGCACAGTTCAGTAACTGCGTTATACGATACATTTGGATTCCATATTGAAGAACTGTTATTCTTTAAACTTGTGTTTAGGTTCAATTTTAATTGAATTTACATGCACTGCTATTCAATAAAATCATTACCAAAGCAATTTTGGGTTTTCTTTTCGTATATTTTAGCGCAGTGTTTATGTTCAAACTGCATCATTTTATAGTGACAACTGCAACCGCTCTATATACTGTATTCTTTTTCAGGTGGTACTTGTTTTACATTTTTTAACATGTACAGTCAGCCAGTGAGGCATGTAGTGGTTCATCGGGCTTGACCCACAACAGGCCAAGTGTCATAGAAAAAGGCCAAATGTAGCATTTTGTGGTCCCATTTCTGAGAAATAAAATGAGCGCACGTTGTGGGAAAATAGCTTTTTCCTGACCTTTGACACGCGCCTCTGACCCATTACGACCCGCAAGCGGTGCCTTTTCACATAATAAAAATGTATGACAGATGCACACGCAAAACCAGTCACACACTCGCAAACAGAAACGCAATTTGACCACTGCATAAAATATGACTTTTTAAATTGGTGTCAGGGTGCGTGTGTGTGCGCACGCGCATGTGCGTGCTCATGCCGCTGCAGTAAAACAACGTGTGTAATTTTGCATATTTATGAAGCGTCATTAAGGCAGCGCACGCTGTCAAGGCGTTCAAGTGTGCACAGGCACACACACACGCATACCCAAAATACATGCCTGATATGAGCAAAACCAGCATGAATGCAATCAATTCATTATAAGATGACATCATGAATGAAAAAACACAATTTTAATAAGGGGTAAGGGTGAGGTTTTAGTGCCGAAACACTTTTACTTACTATAATGCATATTGCAGTCATGCGGACACAAAAGAAGAGTAGTTTCATAACTACTGTAAGTGACTCAGTAAGATGCTGTAATGTTTCTCTTTTTTGTACAGGACAAAGAATATATGCCTGTGAGTATCATTATTCTTTCTGTCTACATGTGTTGTTCCCCCGCTTGTGTTCAAATATCCATTGCTTGTAAATGCCGATTTGCGATGCTGTTTGCATATGCTCCAGTTAAAAATGTAGATTATTTCTGCCATCGTTTTTTTTTTTTTCTCATAACATTTTTTTCTATTCAAAATGAATTATTTTTCCCTACTGGAAATCAAACTTCATTGCACAGCATAAATGGGCTCGAAGACTCTTTGATGGTTTGACATGCAGTGTGACAGCAGTGCAATTTACATGCTAATGAAAAATCAACATTTGCTATTTGATTATAGTGTTACCTTTTTTCTAATGCTACAATTATTTAAAAATATGGTAAAAAGCTCATCTCGAAAAAGACTGAAAACTTTAAAACTGTAACTTTTTCTTCAAATAGTTTTCTCCACAAAAAATATTACTTCTTGTAATACAGTATCCTCATTTTCTTCTTGGAAAAAATATTGAACCTTAAAGTGTCTATCCGCTCAATTTTTTTTTTTTATTATTTAAAAAGATGTCATTCTTGTAAGATTTTTTTCACCCACAAAATTTTGCTCTACTGTTTTCATGAAAAAAAAAATATGCCACTTTATTCCCAGTAGCTCACAGATTTTTTTTTTCTTGAAAAAGTAATTTTTCTTGAAGCCCCAACCCCATTTTTTCTCCACATTGGCACTTTCGTTTTTCTGACGGACTGTAAACGCAAAAGCCAGAACACATTAACTCCAAACCTTCACTTTTGTACTACGAGTTTCCATTAAAGATAAATTGTAACAAACGCCTCCAGTATCTACATCGTTATCTCAACACACACACACACACACACACACACACACACACACACACACACACACACGCACACACAAACAC